AAGCACAGCTGCAGTTCTTTGATGTTCGCGAGCAAGTTGAGATGTCATTTGAATGATCTATCACACTTTAATTATCGTTCAAATACGGCCAACAATGCCCTACCGGGATCCCGCGGTGCCACCGAGCGCGCAATTCTTAACTTGCAGTGAACTCCTGTCGTTTCGTAAACGACTTCGATAATTGCAGTATAAAATTTGTCATTTGTTTAGACTGTGCGCGACGATGCTCCCAAGACAGCATGCAAAGCGGCGTCGTGACAACGTTCCGACCATTGTCTAGTGATTTGCCTGAGAGAAACCGATAGCTATAAAAATAAGACGCATAAATATATGCAAATTCCTCCGCTAATTCTTAACTATTCTCCATATTCTGAACCACTGCTACCTGGCCTAGTGTTTAAAGTTTAGTTCACTGTAAGACTAGTCTCTTTCTGTTTTTTTCCATACCAGTAACTTTTATCCAAAGGTAAGGTATTGTGAAGCTGTCAGGTTAGCAGACAGAAAGACTAAATCGTCTCTGTCGTTACGATGTTGGTGGTGTGCTTCTCAATTGATATGTCTCACGAGTGAACGCGAAAACTGGAACGAGTCTCAATATACAGATCTCTCAGTCTCACAATTCCTGGTCAGCTAGGCATTCCAAAAGCTTGTTTATAAATTTGTACCTTGTGACATGGACCACAGAAATTGTATTTTGAGATATTCCACCCCATTGTTTAGTCTCTGAGCATGCTAAAGAAATTGATACCCAGAAAACACTATAGGGAAACTTATAAGAAAAAAAATGTTTGAACTGATAGAGTAATCCAGTTTACAGATATAATCATCAAGGTCTCCGCCCCAGTAATACTCAAAAAATGCTTTAAATTGTCTAAATCTCTTATTGCATTTAATTGTCTCTATATTCCTTTGTTTTCATAGATAACCTACAATTTTGTGATTGCATATACACATAAAACTGTAAATACCTTAATACCTGTTTTGTACCTTAATTCTTCTGGTGAGAATTCTCCGAATTATAGGGAGGGTTTTATACTATATAGCTGTGATTATACCTTGGCCTGGATTAGGACAAGACTTACTTTAGATTTAATTTTTGATTGCAAATGTATAATGCTGCATGTAGGTATTATTAGGAATGAGGGTGGGGATGATGTGGATAGATTCGTTGATGTAGCATGACTTTGTCCGTATATAGTCTATATATAATTAGTCAACTGTACAATAGCACAAATCACTGACAGGCGGGGTGTACCTTGGGTGTATAATAGTACCCAAGTATTTTGAAGTAAAGTATTTTGGTATTCATATATATATAACGACGTTTAGAGAGGAGAGTTTTGAGATAGATAACCAAAACATTGGCAAATGGTGTTTCTCTTCGTCCTTCAACGAATAGACAAAACTATGCCAACTAAAAAGTCATGACTTTAGGTGGTGAAAGCGGTTTGATAAAATGTTTTTACACACTAAGAGAAAACTGTATTCTCTACAGGAGAGTTGCGTTGCTTTCTATGGAATATCAGCCGCGAAAGTGATTATACCCCGTCTAATATGATTCAAGAATGCGTTGTACAAGTGATTATCACTCAATTTCTTCGCCAGTCAAGGGGACGGATATGCTATTAGTTTGAAGCAAACAAGCGGTATTTTTGAGTAAATAGCTATAAATGGCTTGAGTGGTCTCAACGCGATCTATCAACACGCTCAAACATGATGAAGTAACCCAGGTCGTTGAATCACGACAACTTACTGTGAACTCTTGCTGTGGCAATTCACATTAGTTTATACTTGCAATGACCCACAAGCCTTGTTGATGGAAGACTGCTCAGGAAAAACCTATACCGTCTACAATGCTTAAGAAGAACCGTTCTACTTTCTAGACATTTTCCAAAATCTCCAACTGACCAATTATTTCAAACTATATTGATAAAATAATTTCCCCGTAATTTGACATTTACCCAAAAATAAGATTATGATCATGCAACATTTGGCCTAACATTTTAGCCAATAAATGAGCTTAGATGCATTTATTGCTTGATTGAAGCGAAGAAATCATGCCTGCATCGCATACCGGACTCAATTGTCCGAAGTTCTCAGACTGTACGCAATCTTATGGACGCTGATAACTTTCTGTATTATTAGCTCCGTTTACACTACACTCGATTTATTGGCACGGCACGGCACGAAATGGGTACCCGTGCCCATTTTATCTGTGTTCGGCCTTTGTTTTGGTAGCCTGAACACTAATAAATTTGGGCACGGGTACCAATGTTTGCTGTGCCGTGCCAATAAATTGAATCTAGTGTGAACCGGGCTATTATTACACGTCTATATATTGTGTTAAATTCTACTACTCTTGCATGTAAACGACAATTGACTGAGAAATAGTAAAATTTGGTAGAGCTGGACGTCGTTGTAGAATCATTGTTTATTTACTTTATTGTTTGATCGCAATGTCCCTTACTCAGTGCTATTATTACTATAGTCTATATATCTACTGATATATCTGATGCTTGAAAAATTTCTATCCATAAAAGTTGGCAACATTTTTTAAATCGAGCGAAGTGGCCGAAATAGGGAATATTATTTTAACGTTCAAGTGATTTCCTGCATTGGAAAATCTAAGAAGTCAGATAAGATACTTGGCGACTTTACCAATCAAGTGAAAGAAGCATGAAAAAATACCGGCTGGCATCCATGGTTTCCAGGAAGTCTATATGACTCCCCGGCCATGCATGAGAGTGCTCTTAATACAGCGATTTTTCGTCTGAACATTATATTGACGAGAGCTGCAAAATTTACACGTTAGGAGTTTCTAGGCAACAAATACTCAACTGAGTAGTCAAGCTTGTCAATATTCTATTACTCAGAAGGTGTCCTGTCTCACACGATTTGCCTATGCATTAAAGAAAATGCTACAAACCTCAGTCAATATAGGCGAGCATTTTAAGGCACCAAAAAATGTTTCCAGGGAACAGCGACACATAAAGAGATTGTCAAAGGCAGGAGTGAAGAAAAATGGATACGCGCTCCAGGGGCGCCAAGATGTTATCGTCGTAAAAATAGTTTGGACAGTGTTGAGAAAATATTGAGATCATAATACAAAACTGCATTTTGCGCAAAAATCTCTGATTCGAATTTTACACGAGAATTTGGCACGCGAAGTGAAAATTAACGCAACTCAAGCATAGACACACAAGTCAATTTCGAGGGAACAAGCAAAGATGATATAGCTTACAATGTAAGCAAATTCATGATCTATTTCAAAGGATATATATTATGTACACATAGAATATGGCGGGTAAATTACCAGTTGAATGGCTATAGATCGCCAATTCTCTTTCAAAAACGCCGACAACAATCTCCGTGACAGGGTTACGGTGAAGGAGGCGGGGCAAAGATACTTCGGTGTACGATTGAGGCGCAATCGTGTCAACAAAACTTAAAATAATTGCAACAGGCGACGAAAAATAATGCAGTCGCATCTTACCAAGGCGTGAAAATGGGCTTCGCATATAGACTAAAATTTACTTTATGGTTATTTGAATGTTTTTACAATACTTTCACAGTAAAGTGTGGCCAAAAGAATTGTGTATAGCGGCAAGGAATTAGGTCAAACACACCGCAATGCCAGCCCACCGAGCCGCAGGTGAAATTATCCGCTTTGCTTTTTGCCTTACGACATAAGACATATACAGATGCCATTTCTGACATTTTGTATACACTCTGTGATTTCAATGTCATTTTCAGTGTCCGGATGATAGTAAACGTGAACTAGGAATCTCACCTCTTTATAATTCAACTTTAAACGAAGTTTTATCATCGGCTTTTTCTGAACCAGGGTCTTAGTCTTAGATCTGCCGACGTGTGCGTAACGATTAAGTGTGGAAATACTTATATATACATAAATCTATCCAAATGACCTTCGTTTACACAAGACATACTAAATTTGTAAATATTACCAAAGATGAGACTTTCATATTGTTTTAAAACAGCTCGTTGATGTCGCATGCAACACTCCTCGCTTAGGTATACTCTGCTTTCAGAAAGAACAATACATTTTTACAAAGTAGTTACGTTGCCCGACTGAGAGAAGCTAATTCACGGAGGGAACTTGTGGGGGATCGCTACAGGAGAGTCCTAAGTCTCTCAGTCTCTATACTTACACTAGATGGATAGGGTAGGGATACTATCAGCCGTTGACCCTTACCTCTGAGAGAATAGTGTTGATATATATAATAAAAGACGTGAGTCTATGATTTTAGTATTGCCCATGTGACGGGACACTATAGTTTACAATGCATAAGAATAAGGATCGGATCTGATTTTTGCCGTCCACTCTTGGCTCAGCTTCCGGGCCGACGGAAAGTCATTGAAATGAGTTGAAAAGATCAAAGTTGCAGGGGGCCTGAGACCCGACTGTGCTCATTCAATCTTCATTACAAGGCAAAAAGGCAAAACACTTAAATATCGTTACAACCTTGAAAACGCACTTCTTCAATGAATCCAATATTTGTGTGGATAAAGATTTAATTATATGTGCATCAAGTTGTCACTGCTACCGCATTGGCGAGCGAATATAAAATGTGTATACAATTCGTGTGCAAAAATATATGACGTTGTGATCGTTGCTCAAACCTCTTTCACTATACACGTGCACGTACTGTATACAATAAGACTGTCAAATATTAGGTTGCCCAATCAATATTTAGGAGTGGAGCTGCATGGCTGACTTTTAATCTTACGAGCAGATGTCAGAATTTCCCCAGCACCAGGACTGAAGAGGACTAACACTATCAACCGATGTAGTTTCGAACGAACTAAGTCTGATCGGTCTTTTTGTCGTCGCTAAGATAACCGTTATATAACTGCAGATGTCTTTTTATAAGAGCTAACATGTTCTGCTAGATCACGAATATACCTGATCGCCAAGTATATTTTGACATCCTCGATCTAAGTTGATATTTTACTAGCACCCGCTTAGTCGACACTGTGGAGTCGTAAGCTTCACGCATGTTGTTCTGCTGTGCTGCATGCAAGTTTCACAAGTCCACACAAAGTATGCAGGTCCAGAACTTTCATCATGTCACTTCTACAAAATCTAAAGTAACAACTCACTTCTACTACTAAAACAGCGAATCCTATCGTTTAGCCCCCTCCCCAAGATAAGGGAGACGAGTTCTTCGTCCCCTCCTATCACACATCCTGCGATCACATGACATATTAATCTGTGTGTCAGATGTCTTTAACCATATAAAGAGAACAAAGAGAATATGCCGACAAGCAACGCCAACTTAAAGTAAATGTCAACCGAGTGTTTTACGCGTATACACAGTCAAGTCGGCAAAACAAACGAGGCTGCGGATGGTTGAAGACAAGTTCGTGTAATCTTGCCAAGAAAAACTTTCACAATTTGTGCGTTGAATCTTGGATTTTGTGTTTAATATTCGAAAGTTCACATTCATTCGTAGACGCACTTATTTTTCACACTGTCTACACACTCACAGCAAGCGCGGATGAGATAGGAGCTGAGCCAAACTAAGGGCAGGTGTCTTGGTACAGTCTTCCGCAAGAAGTACGAGAAAGCGCGAAGACTGCATGAACGATAAGAAATCACGGAAGCTATAGAAGAATCAATACAAAGCGTGTGTGCGTCAGCGCTCAGTGAGGGGAGAAGTTTACTAAATCAACTGGACACGGCAAGCTAACAGTACGCTTTCACTCACGGTAGCCACGAAACCGTCCTTTATACCGCGAGACAAATCTGCGATCGAATTCTATAAGCCTATATCATATTCTTTACCAATAAACAAATCAGACCAAATGACTATGGGAGATAATACAACGTTTCCTCCGAATGGTGCGTAGTAAGCCACTGATACCGATAATGATTCGCTTGACTTCAACTGACTTATATATATATAGTTATCCTAGTCCTTAAACCAGGCATGAATAGTCATAGCAACATTTTGCCTAATCGTACTATAGTTTTACACCTTTTCTCCTAGGAGGAAATCCCAATACGACATGTCTAGCTGGAAACACAGTAAATATCTGCACCGGCTGCCATCAGGCGATAGAAGATAGATTCCTTATGAAGGTTACTGAAGACCCTTGGCATGAGAGTTGTCTGCAATGTTGTATATGCCATGCTCAACTGTCTAGGAAATGTTTCAGTCGTGAACGAAAACTGTATTGCAGGACTGACTATGAGAAGTAAGTAAAATGCATGTATAGCGTCTAGATACGTTTGTTTTGCTACATTGCGTTTGTATGTATATTGAAGTATATAAATATACATTTCAATGGCAAACCGACTCAAACTATATCACCCATTGTCCATCAGACTTAGTGATCCTTACTCTACGACACAAGATTCTCTGTAATTATCCATACCGAAACCCTCCCTATAGTCATTATGCTTGCCTTACTAGTAGATAACTTGCTTAATTGGGACTATATGTGTACAAATCTACGATGACTGGCAAAATTGTTGACTGTGACACAGGCAAGCGTTTAGCGCTGTTGGTTTTAATGAGCACTGCAAGAGCAAATCATTGAATGCGTCACATTGCTATATTTTACAATGAGTTATACAGAAATTTTGCTTCGTCCTAATCTTGCCTCTATTCTCCCCCGGTGGCAAGGATGGATCGTTAAAATTCGCTTCCATGGCTAGCGGTTTAGAACAAGCGCTACTGGTTCAGAATTTGGCCAACGCAAAAGCCACAAAATCTTGTCTCGGTGTAGTTAATTCTTTGTCAAAAACACAAACACAGTTTAGACACAGATGCAGATATAGCCGACATTAAAATGTATACAACACTGGTTGCAAATTTATATAAAAACTGAATGCATTTTACATGCGCTTGAAAAACCTATACGCTATACTTATGTGCTTATGGATTACGCCAGTTCCATGGGGGCTCAATCAGGTTTTTTCATTCTCGCAAGACGTGTAGTGACTATTTAAAATGAACGTTTACCGTTCTCAATTCCCGAATTAAATAATATTACGAAATTATAGATAGCATGATTTTATACCTAAAAGATCACGCGTGATAAATCAGGTCTCCCTGCTGTAGGTCCTTAAACTCATGCCCATAATTTTGTCTGGAGGTTTAAAACATGCTGCTTCGAGCCAAAATATTATTGATAACCCACCAAAGATATCCCAGTGGCGAAAGCGATTTAAACGTTTGACATCTCTCTGGATATAGTCTTTGTTTTTAAACTGATATTCACCACTGCAATTGTCAGACGAACGTTGCATGCATGGGTTAGTAATGAGGTATAGGAATTGATCTTGAGATTGAAATCTCTGTTTTAAAACACTTTATTTTGTATATATATTAGGTTCACTATGTCGATAGTTGCAAACCCAAGAATGTTTTCCTGTCACTATATTTTTTTAGTATACGACCAATATGACAACTTATATGCAAACAAACTTCAATGGAATTGTGCACTTATACGTGGCAATAGCTTGCTGAATTGCAGATCGGAGAAATTATTTACGGGCGGCTTACCCCTGATATAGATCTGAGCATCCTCGCTAGTGTGAGGGAAAATGTATGCTTTTCTTTTATTTTATGATATATGGTTTTGATAAAGCAGAGTGCCAAGTTATGGATAGACATCTCATGCAAACGAGCAATCTTTGACTCTTACAATCTGCAAGTCGGATCAGTTAATATCCCAATTTAAAACACAAAGCTCTTGAGTTTTAAAGATTATCTGACTTGCCATAGCCCTAAGCATGCACGCACACTATTACCTCAGCGTTGAGAATGAGTTCAAAAACAAAGGATGTTCAAGTTATTTCGGAATTTCCGACCTTTATCGTTTTGGCGCCCGGCAGTACATGCAGGAAAATAAACGAATATACGTCGCCACCGAAACAAGTACAGTTGATATGCTTCTCACGTTGACATGGAAAACACCTAGACTGAATATTTTTTATTGATTTCACCAAATACAAAAATATTGCAATGAGACAGCGTTAGAAAGGAAACCAGAGATCATCGCACTCAGTCTCTGTAGTGTATAGAACCACTGTTGTAGACTCGCGTGTTTATATAGACTATCATTATTTTGTATCCTGCGCTACGCATATAAAATAATAGCAAATAAGGTAGATCTATGTCTATGTTTCCACAAAACCCTAAACTTTTAACAATCCTACTCTGACAAAGCACAAAAGTTGGTCGAAGCAATTGTACAATGTACATGCATTGTTACAATGGGTGGCGGGATTCTACACCGACCCAATATTTCGAGCGAGCTTTGTTTTTAGCAAAATGTCATAAACCACACATTTAGAAACCTTTCTTAACGAGTAAAACCCAAACAAATCTAAACTTCGCTGCATATTAGTTTTAGTCGTAATTTGTACTAATTTCTCCTCCGGGATGTTTAAGGTATACAAGTAATATGTGCATGCATGTGACCGCTTGTTTCTATTTTTTTTAATTTTTGAGCCAGAAATTGTAGAACGGCAGATTAGGTTTTTATAATACACTGACAATAAAAATGCACCAAACGTTGTCTTGTATACTATAGTTTGAAAATGTTTATTTCTCATTTGCATGGACGCATAAAGGCGTTTTGTGTTTAATTTAGAAACACAATCGTGACAACAGTAAGAGATATACATTAAATTGATTGTGTAAAATTGAAGAATTATACTACTTTGTTTTTGCTGTTAAGATAAAATCCATATCTTTTGAATGTGGTACAGTCGTCTAGCTCTATAGGCTTTCACGCCATGTTTTCGAGATTCATTACAGCGCGACTCACAAGCAAGCCACGCATGTAAATCAGATGGATAGATTTAGCTAAAAAAAGAGATATTTGATTATATTAGCAATATTTCTTGAAGACAATATGCTATTAGTAAAGGAAAGATGTCTCATTATACATGCAATGACTCCAGCTTGATGTATTTCCGATGTTAGTTTCCACACTGACCAGACCGAAGGACAATATTTATAAGATTAGGATAGAGTACGTTTATACAACGTGAACTGCAGTTGTAAAGTTAACTAACAAAACGAAAGTCTGGTGTACCACAAAACATGAAATAAAACCTTGCTCCTGCTTATAGTCCTAGTCAATGATTGCGTCCATCGCGTGAATTAGTACCTTCACTGGCTGAGTTATGTGGGAATGCTGTGTTAGAATTGCTAACCATTAGGTTAACATGACCTTTTACTAAGTAATTGTTTTGGAACTGCGCGCAAGCGTATTCTAGACGTCTAACATAGACCATTGTGTATGTCTACTTATGTCTATACTCTTCAGGAAACTGTTATATTTTGCCTAGTAATGCATTGGCCTAAAAAATTGGCCCTAATTCCATTTCGGAAACATATGGTCAACATTATAGTGAGGAAAACATTTCAAGCAACGTAAAGACAAAGTGTCAAGCATCTTAATAAAATGCATGTCTTCTGCTTGGTAAAATATAAACTATATAGCATGCAGACCAATACATATGGAATGTCTACCCTGTTGCAAGGGGATTGCAAAATATTGAATTCCAGAAATAGCGGTAAAAGGATATAAAATGTATGTGTTTAAAACGACACCCGTTAAATAAAATGTTCTGTTTTCTCAATCTAAAATATTAGAACGATCTACAACTATCATTGGTTTTATACTCCATTTATTAGAGTGGCTAGACATTCAAAGCAGAATCATTAAGTTAGTTTCTCGGAAAATTCGTAAATGTTTATGACATTGGTAGGATATTATGATGAACACCAAAACAATATAGTATACAGCCTGTTGCATTGCACTGCATATCGACCATTCTTCCATTTAATAGTTATACGCTTAATTCTGTAAAAGCCTTTATTTTATTGGCACATTACTGTGCGTAAAATTTTAAAATTGAAGGAATAAGTAGACGATGCATTATTTACGACGACGAAATTAAAAAAAGGGACGCTGAACGGTTCAATATACAATATATTATCTTACACATAATTAAACCTAATATTAAATCTATTATAAAGCAATGTCACTACAACCTATATCACCAGTTGTATATAGCACTGAATATTATTTGAAAAAATTGCGTGAATATTTGGAACAAGTTTATATTGAGTACAATTATCATGAAAATTAAAACACAAAATTATATAGATCTAAGTACGTATAATTGAGTCCGTTTACTTTATACGATATTTTTAAAAGCACAATAGCTATTACCTGTCTTTTCAGTGACAAACCAAAATTTTAAATATTTTGGTTGCAATGCCTTGCTGACACAACCTATTATTTGGGCAACCACGCATATCGTAGAATGTTGAAATTGTTTTAAATTAATCAATCATAACGATTTTGCGTGGTTGCAAATAACGCTCAGACGAAAACTGAGGGTAAATTTAGTCCCAACCATGCAGGGCAAGTCTATTCTTACACAAAGGCCAAGCTGGGTATATATTAAACTGATCAGAGTGATCATATGATCGCCGACTTTTCCTCGAGACAGGACGAAATTAAAGCCATGTAGAATTTATCTAATTTCATGCAGATCGCCTATGATCTATTCTTGAGTTTGTATATATATACCGTCATAGCAAAATTATCCATGTTTTCCATCTATCGTTGTTAAATCCAGTCTCGCGTGAAATACGCATAAAGAAATTTATTTGTCACAATCAGAAGCAAATTACAACCGGAGACAGTTTAAACTATTTTGTCATTTTTAAAAACAACGGGACACTCATTCAGTGCACTGGCTGGCGTTAATTATGCGCCATTAATACTAAGCATTCTGCAACCGTTTGCTTAAACACTTGAATGTTAAGTACTTAACCGGCTCACTTGTCAGACGAAGAGTAAACCTTCAGCAATAAAGTTTCAAATAGTGAGACAACGTTGCCATATTTGAGTGCGTGATCAAAAATATTGCCCCATGGCTATGATCTATTTATGAAATAGTGGATAGAATTGTTTTTGTCTCAAGTGCAAACGAATCTGTAGACAATGATAAACATCCTTCGGACTAAATAGCAACTTGTAAACACGAGCACGAACATAGCTCAGTTTTGCTAGAATCTGTCTTCAATTTAAACGCGTTATATAACTTGCCCGGCAGCATAGTATAAACTCTTCTTCGACGGCGCGTTTTAGTTGGTCACTTGCACTGTCACTTTCGCATTTACACATTGAGAGGAATTAGTTCAATCTGCGTGCTAATAAACAGA